AACCACCCTCCATCCTTGAAGCCGCTGCAGATGTTCCAAACGAATGTGCGCAACGCTGCGGCGAGATCCAGATTTGAAAACGGCCCGCCCTCCACAAGTGAAGATCTGATTAATTTCAAGCTTCAGGATCACAAGTGGTGAAACAGTTTCAGGCGACACGCCCAACCCGCCCTACCGACGCGTCTCGGCGTGTGACAGAGAGGAGGTAGTTGAAAGGAGAGGGATGGAGGAGAAGGAAGCGCAAGCCGAGGAGGAAGGGATGGAAGGGGAGGGATGGAGGAAGAGGAGGAGGAGGAGAAGGAGGAGGAGGAGGAGGATGGACGCAGCCTGAGAAAAGGCGGTCAGCGAATCGAGAATCCGCCCGCGCCAGAAGCGGGCAGAGAGCTTGCGAAATCAGCGACGCTCAGCTCAAACGCCACAGGCTGGGCAGTGAAGAGGCCGTCAATTTGTGAGGTTCGGCCATCGGCCAACCAGTCGCGCCCTGCATCGGAGTTGTAGGCGGCCCGGTTGGGCACGCGAGGGCCGGAGAGTCGAGTGAAGGAGGGACGAGGAGGAGGAGGAGGAGGAGGAGAAGGAGGAGGAGGAAGAGGAGGAGGAGAAAGGGGAGGATAAGGAATGAGAACGATCAAGAGCAAGAGGAAGGGGGAAGTTCGCAAGCAGCTGAGCGTCGAATGTCGGTAGGTGAGCGTCGCCAAAGGTGGCAGCCTGCGATGATCTTAGTCGGTTCACGTATGCATGGGGAGGTTCGAAGAGGGAAAGCGGACCTCCTCCTCCTCGGGGACACGACTCTTGCGATAGGCTGGTCTGGCATGGGCTACGCGTGCGGAAGTGGCGTTTGGGACCGCCGAAACGGTCGGGAAAACACGGGTACGAGGCCCAACTGCAAAAGTGCCGCCGCTGCCGGGCACCCCGCCGTCAGTCTCACGTGGACCACGCCCGCGGGGACACCGACAGCGAGTCCTGTCCAAAAACAAACAGGTTCGGCTGTCACTCGTAGAGCCCCTGTTTTTTTGTCGTAGTTCCCTTGGGTCGGGCATGCCCACCTACAGGCGGATCTTGGGCGGAAAATAAGAAATACTCAAAAATACTACCAAATTGAAAGAATACAAAAAAACGTCCGCAGACTATTTTTTAACTATTTTTGAAGATCCCCCCTGTAGAGGGACAGGCCCGACTCAATCGTAGAGCCCCTGTTTTGTCGTAGTTCCCCCTCTCGGTCGTGCCGATCGGTGGCCCAAAAAATCGCCCCCCGGCGTTCCCCTGCCTCTCGGCGCACCGGCCGCAGGCCCCGAGGAGGTCAGGGGGCGACCTCCTGGGAGGGCAAGGCCTCCTCCTCCTCCTCCTCCTCCTCGCTCCTCCTCGCTCCTCCCTCCTCCTCCTCCTCCCTCCTCCTCCTCCTCCCTCCTCTCCTCCTCCTCCTCCTCCCCCTCCTCCCCTCCTCCTCCCCCTCCTCCTCGGCCTCGCTCCTCCTCCTCCTCCTCCTCCTCCTCCTCCTCCTCCTCCTCCTCCTCCTCCTCCTCCTCCTCCTCCTCCTCCTCCTCCTCCTCCTCCTCCTCCTCCTCCTCCTCCTCCTCCTCCTCCTCCATTCCTTCTCCTTACAGATAACTCCTCCCTGTCGCACCCCGAGGCCAATTTTTAGGGCGGAATGGGCGTTTCGCCTAAGACGACTCACCAGTTATGATTCCGAAGCGTAAAAGTGACAACAGCTTCACAGATGGAGGGCGGGTGGTTTTACAAATTCGTTTTGCAAATTTGCAAATTGCAAGAGTTTACATATTTGCAAGAGTTTCAAGAGCTTTCAGGATTGAAGGCTGGTGGTGTTCAAAATGTGGCTCTCGCCGAAGCGCCGCGCACACTCTTTGTAAACATTGCAAGGGCTTCACGGATTGAAGGCGGTTCATTTTCAACATGTGGTTCTCGCCTGAGCGCCGCGCACATTCGTTTTACAAATTTGCCAAGAGTTTCACGGATTCCCATGACCAACGCACCAAAAAAGGTGTTTGGGAAGGATTCAGGACTATGCGGGTGCAACAGTTATGTTGATTCGCGGTGTTGGATTCCAAGAAATGACGTTATGGCACCATTCTGGATCGCCAAAGCGCAGCAGTCAGGTTGATACGTGGCGTTGCAATCCCGAGAACAATGTTTTGGCATGCTTCAGGATCTTCAAACGGTTGTCTTCCAACGAGGCAGTTCCCTCAATGGAAGTGAACCGATGTAGGGGCCTACGAAGAGGGAGCTTGGAGGGAGGGTTAATTCCAACATCGTTGATGACTCGTAGGTTTACACTGGCCCTCCTCCTCCTCCTCCTCCTCCTCCTCCTCCTCCTCCTCCGCGCTCCTCCTCCTCCCTCCTCGCTCCTCCTCCTCCTCCTCTCCCTCCTCCTCCATCTCCTCCTCCTCCCGAAATTGTTACGGGAAAAATGGGTACAATGCCGAACAACAAATGTTTTCCCAGACAAAGAGCGGTCGCTGCTGGGTAGGCGGCATTCTGTCTTAAGTGGACACAGGCCGCGGCGGCGCGGACAGCGAATTCTGTTCAAAATCAACAGGAACTGCTGTTGGGCGTTGTACCCATTCTTTCCGTACCCATTTCGTTCGTGCCGAAGGGAGGGGGGGGCTTCTCATGGACCCGAGGCTTCCAAGAGTAGGGGAACAAGCGATGGCAGGAACATGCAATTTGGAGGTCCTTCCCGGATGTCTCGGATCGGCGCTGGGGCCTTTGACGGCGCCTCTGGCGCCGCCCCCGGGCGCGCTGCACACGCCGGGGACAGGGTCCAGCACCGATCCGAGAAACCTGCGCGGACCTCCGAAAGATTATGTTTGCGTCGTCACTTGATCCCTGAGAAAGGTGGTGGGCCGACTTGCCACCACCACTACTCCATGTAGGAGAGTGGTGAGGAGGAGGAGGAGGAGGAGGAGGAGGAGGAGGAGCTCCCCATCCTCCCTTCTCTCCCGTCCTACATATGGTTGTGGTGGTGGAGAATTGGCCCATCAAAAGGTCTTCGCGGAGTGGGGGGAGACCTCCTCGGATCTTCCGGGCAACTCCAGCACCTTCGGAGCAGCACCCGCCTCGCCCCGCCTAGAACGCCAGCCGTGGCGACGAGAACCTCACCGAGAATCAACCGCCCGGGCGCGGACCCTATGAATGACCAAACGACGCGAAGCAATCGCTTGAGCAGGGACCGACCGTCCCGGCATTCCTATAGGCCCACTCACGCACAGGTATCAGAACCAACTACTGTGCGAATCGCGACGACAACGTTCTTAGAATATTGGGCCGATGCTCTATAAGAAAACGACCTTAGCCAGAAATGTTCTAAGAACATGTCGTGCAGACCACGAAAATGCTATTGGACCATTCTTTGGCGGGCCGGTAGGCGAACCAGGACGCGTCGCCACTGCAAGAGTCACGCACGGAGCCCCAGACACCAACTCGTCTTCAGCATCTCTGTGGGGCTGGATCGACCCGCGGGGGCGCAGACGGCCCGCATCCGGGCGAGAGCGGATGTGAACAAAAATTCGCTTGCGAATAGCTTGCGACTCCAGAACGGCGGGGAAAGGAAGGGGGGGGATCTCAAGGGGGGGACCAACGAGCTGGAATCGGCGAAGCCTCGCCGAGGGAGTCGCGGCATTCCTGTAACAAGACAGTCGCCACAAACATAAACTCTTGGCGCTCCGCGCGGATTTCTTGGATCTGCGCTGGACCCCCCTCCCTGGCGCGCGGCCCAGGGGCGGCGCCGGAGGCGCCGCTGGGGGGCCCAGCGCGGATCCAAGAAATCCGCGCGGAGCGCCAAAAGTTTATGTTTGTGGCTTTTTTTTCTCTTCGAATGCCCCGTGCCAAGACCGCACGCTCCTGGGGAGATGCGGGCTACTGGGCCCCGTCGGCAATGAATGTGCGGTTGTGGGACGATGCGTCCCCCCTGAACAGACCCTCCCCTAAGATTAGGCCCGGACATCTTCCTACAGGCGCATTTTGGAGGACAAACAAATTTTGAAACATAGTAAAGTATTTCTCAACGATTGTCAAAGCAGAATCGAAAAAGCATCCCCCGAGTATTGTTGCACAATTCTTGAATACGGTGTGGGCATTGGATAAGGAATCTTTGGGTAAGGAATCCAGGGTCTGGAAGCCCGTGGGACCCCAATCGTGGGTTGGCCATGGATGGATGTCACCGCCGCCCTCGTCAGATAAGGACTCTTTCAGGGTTTGATCTTCCTGGGCGCATTCCTCAACGAATGCCCCGCACCGCACTCCTTCTGTAGAGGGACGTGCCCGACTGAATTCCTAAGAGGAGGAACAAAAAAACCCATCGACCTAGACCTTTGAAGGTCCACGCTGACTTCTCGGATCTGCGCTGACCCCTCTCCCTGGCGCGCGGAGCGCGCCCGAGGGGCGGCGCCGAGGGGCGGCGCCGGAGGCGCCGCCAGGGGGCCGAGCACAGATCCAAGAAGTCCACGCGGAACTCCGGAAGTTCATGCTTACGTGCCTGTCTTGTTGCGGCCGACACTGCCCCTGACGGGGTCTCAGGGGTGGGCTTGGGTCGGGCATGTCCTCCTACAGGCGGATTTCTGGAAGAGAGGAACAACTGCCCCCAAAAAACTAAGAATAGCATCAAATAATTAAAAAATCGTCCTCTGACTGTTTTTTGTTTGCCTGTTTTCGAATATATTCCTCCTGTGACTGGGGATGCCCGACTTCAGGGAGGGCGCCCGCGCCCGCCGCCCCCCCCCAGACCTCTGACGTAACGACTTTTTCATAACGTCGACCCCCAAAGGTTTCGACATATCCCCCGGGGCCGGCTTTTCATCCTGAGCCTCCGAGCCGTTGTTTGACGGCCCCGAGGCCCCGCAACGGCCCCCAGAGGCCGACAACGGCGAAGAACCTCGCGCCGCGATTTTTTATGTATTGCTCGAGGGGGGTCTGGGGAGGGACATGCCCGACTTCGAGGTGGGCGCCCGCGCGCGGCGCCCGCCCGCCCACGCGCGCGTGCGCGCGGCCTCGAAGGCCGCGGGGCGCGCTGGGGCCAGCGGCCCCAGCGAGGCCGCCTGGGTTCCGGCGGGCCTGCACGCCGCGCAGCGGCGCGCAGAGGCGCGCGCGAGTGGAAAGGGAGGAGGAGGAGGAGGAGGAGGAGGAGGAGGAGGAGGAGGAGGAGGAGGAGGGGGAGGAGGGGGAGGATGGGAAGCGGGGGATGGGGAGGAGGAGGAGAGGAGGAGGAGTGAGGGGAGAGGAGGAGAGAGGAAGAGGAGGGGAAGGAGGAGGAGGAGGAGGAGGAGGAGGAGGGAGGAGGAGGAGGAGGAGGGGAGGAGGAGGAGGAGGAGGTGAGGAGGAGGAGGAGGAGGGGAGGAGGAGGAGGAGAGGAGGAGGAGGAGGAGGAGGAGGAGGAGGAGGAGGAGGAGCGAGGAGGAGGAGGAGAGGAGAAGGAGTGAGGAGGAGGAGGAGGAGAGGGGGAGTTGAGGAGGGGGGAGGAGGAGGAGGCGGGGGAGGAGGGGTGAGGATTAGGGGGGAGAGGGAGGGGGAGGATGAGGAGGAGGAGGAGTGAGGAGGAGGAGGAGGAGGACGAGGAGGAGGAGGAGGAGGAGGGAGGAGAGGAGTGAGGAGGAGGGGGAGGAGGAGGAGGAGGAGGAGGAGGAGGAGGAGGATGGAGGAGGGGAGGAGGAGGAGGAGGAGGAGGGGGAGGAGGAGGAGGACAAGCTAGGTGCGCTCGCGTCATATCTGACATCCTACCCCTCCCTCCCATCTCTTACCATGGCGCAGATCCCCTCTCTACTCGCACAGTCGGATGTCGTGGCATGGCACGGGAAATGACGCCAGCGCTGCAGCGGGAGCACGAGTCGAAACGAGCGAAAGCGCGGAAATGATGCCAGCGCTGCAGCGGGAGCACGATTCGGAACGAGCGGAAGCACGGAAATGAGGCCAGCGCTGCAGCGGGAGCACGATTCGGAACGAGCGGGGCCCTAAAAGGAGGCCGGTGCCTCAGCGAGAGCAGCATTTTGAAAAAAATGCAGGCGAAAACCCAACTCCGGGGAAACCTGTAAAAAAACAGTACGTGGGGAGGGGTCGGACACTTTTAAACCGTCATCAGGGGAAGAGGGAGAGTAGTATTCATATTGAGTCATTGTGGAGGGGGAGGAGGAAGAGGAGAAGGAGGAGGAGGAGGAGGAGGAGGAGGAGGAGGAGGAGGAGGAGGAGGAGGAGGCGCGCGCGATCGGCGGGGCAGGCCGAACGTGGCCCGCCGCTGGGCGCCGGCAGGCGCCAGCCATAGGCCCTGCCATGTGCGAGCCCGCGCTCGCCACACAGACCTCCTCGCGTTGTGAACAAATTGCGACGGGAGGATTTGTTTTGCTATCTTCGGCCTTCAGGGGCCCTTCTTGGAACTCGGGACCGTCAAAGCACGACTCAGGATGAAAAACTGGTCCCCGGGAAGGGGTCCAGACCTCCGGGGGTCGACGTTGTCAACAAAGACCACGACGTCGGGGGTCTGGGCACCGCCGCCGCCTTGGAGGTCACCGCCGCTGCCGAGCGCAGCGGCGGGCGAGGGCGGCGGCGGCGGCCTTGTTCACCTCCGCCTCTGCCCCCCTCATTGCGAGGCGAGAATCTATCCATATTCGAAGCCTGGGATCCAACGTCCTGGGACCACAGCGGGCAATGGATACTCCATATACCTTAAGAAACGACCCCCAGGGCCGGATTATGAAGGCGCCTTTTCGGAGGGCGGGGGGGGTGCCGGTTGATCAAGGCGGTTTCGCGTGACCGAAGCTAAGGGGTCTGGATTATTAAGGCGCATTTTGTATCGCAGTTCTTGCATGGACATTTATCATCCAACGTGCCACCATCACCGCGAACGCTGTGATATATTATTAGTTTGTGCCAAATGCGACAAAACGTTTATAGGTTACTTCTGATGCAACACTAAGCAAACGCTACCATCATAGATGGCGCCTGTACCGCACCATCATTTTCACGAACATGGTGATTGCCATAATGATTAGAATTGTTGTCGACATCGCAATCGACAACGTGTTGATCACCAACGCCGTCATCATGCCGCAACCGCCGCCCAATAAATTCCACCACCACAACTGGAACTGAATGTTCCTGAAGGGGGGGAGGCGGAATATTTCGGCGCCTCCCATGGAGGGGGGCCAGAATAATCAGTAGCTGGAGCAGGGGGGGCGTTTTTGTGGGGGTGGGTCGTTCACCCCACGGGGCCCGAATGTATCCATATCCATCGCCCGCCGACGCCCACGAAGGTCGACCCCCCAGGCGGTGGTATGGATAAATCCCCACCTCGGACTCACCCTCTTCGGCCTCCAACTCCCACAGTCCCCCTCCCTGCTCCTCCCCCCCCCCGCCGGCCGCCCTTCTGCTTTTCCCCTCATGGCGTTTCGCTAGAGGGTGGGTTCTACTGGAGGCAAATAGCATGAACTCCAGAAGGGCCCCACGGGAGGGACGGGGAGCTCCACAGCGCCCAGTCCGGCAGCCGTTTCGCTGGAGACGTCTTCACAATTAAACTGTCTCGGGAATCGCGCTGTCGCCCGATGCCGGCTCAGTCTTTGGCCCACACGGCCACGACCCCACATCAGCAGCCTGGCGAAAGACCCAACCATCGGCGATTGTGGATACCGTCGTTGTGAGCACCGCCCTCGGTGGCTCTCCTTCTGGGGCCACGAAGCGCGTGAAGGGTGTGCCGACCTGGGGCGGGGCCGCCGTGCGGGTGCTCGGGCACCGTTTAACTGACCCCTGTCCCGATATGACCGTGGCCTGGAGCCCAGTGGCCGATGGACCGCCTAGATGAGGATATGGGCCGTTCCCTTCGGGTCTCGAAGTGAGTGTGTGTGTGTGTGTGTGTGTCCCCAACTGGTGATGGGCCTGTTTTTCACCACCACCACCATGAGCTGGAGGGGGGAGGGGGTCCTCCTCCTCCTCCTCCTCCTCCTCCTCCTCCTCCTCCTCTTCGTCCTCCTCCTCCTCGTCCTCCACCTCCTTCCGCTCTCCAACTCATGGTGGTGGTGGTGGTGGTGGAAAACAAGCCCATCAAACTGGGGTGCAAGGGTGCTGGGGGTCTGGCTGGGGATGGGGACGGGGACGGGGATCGGTTCAACGAAGCCGAGGGCCACTGGGGCCCCGTGCGCCGCCGTCCCGTGCCCCCTCTGCTTCCCAGCGCTCTCCGCCCCCCGCTGTCTCCGTGACGCGTGGCGTTCCCGCCCAGCTGGCCCGCCGTCTGCCCGAGCCAGGGGCTCCGCCGCTGTGCGTGCACCGCCGTCCCTCTCTCTGCCTCTGCCGACGAGCCACGTGCCGACAGGGGAGGCGGGGGCGCACGCGGGCTGCGTCAGTGGCATCTGCGGTGACGCCCCCCCGATGGGGCCACGAAGCGGGTGAGGGGTGTGCCGAAATCGGTGGCGGGGGCGCATGCGAACTGCGCCACTGGGATCAGCGGTGGAGCTCCGTGTGGGGCCACGAAACGCGTGAGGGGAGTGCCGAAATCGGTGGCGGGGAGCCACTGGGATCTTCTGTGGAACTCCTTAATGACGACAAGTATGAGTATGGTGATGATGATGATGCTGATGATGATGATGATGATGATGATGATGACGATGCTGATGATGACGATGCTGCTGCTGCTGATGATGATGATGATGAGGATGATGATGATGATGATGATGCTGATGATGATGCTGATGATGATGTGGTTATGGTGACGATGATGATGCTGATGATGATGATGCTGATGATGAGGACGACGACAACGTCGGTGATGATGCTACTGATGTCGATGGTGATGGGGGTGATGAAATTAAATGAGAGAGATGAAATGAAATGAGGTGAGATGATGACGAGGAGATGCGGAAGACAGAGGCAGGGATGGGAGGAGGGTGGGGGGAGGGGGAGGAAAGGAGAAGGAGGATCGCGGGGCGCTGCCTCTTCAGAGCGAAGACCCGACGCCACAAGATAGTTGGGATAAACACGCTACAGTGCACAAGGCCGTGACCTCATCCCTGTCCCGACCGCTCTCAATCCTGTCCCGCCTCTTCACCGTTGCTGCTGCTCAGGTGCATCGCTGGGGTAATGCTGCCCTTTCCTCCCTGCGCCTCTTCACTTCCCTCTTCCACCGCGCTGAGCGGGCCGAGCATGGGCGTGCGAGGTGCAGCACCGCAGGGACGGCGCTCCTCTCTCGGGAATAAGGCTTTCTGGTTTGCTGGCTCGTGGGGGGGGGGCACTGTGCAGTCTGGGCGGTGCGGGGTCTACCCGCGCACCTTCGCCGCTGGAAGGCTCAGTCTTGCCCGCTCAGAGTCCTTATCCTTCCCACGGCCTCCTCATCATTCTCAAGTTCCTCCTTCTCCTCCTGCTGCTGTTTCTCCTGCAAGTCCCTCTCCTCCTGGTGCTCCTCCTCCTCCTCCTCCTCCACCTCCTCCCCCTGCTCCTGCTCCTCCTCCTCCTCCTCCTCGTCCTCCCCCTCCTCACTCCCCCTCCTCCTCCCCCATGTTCCCTTGACCTCCCTGCGCTGAAAGGCCCCCCCCCCCTCCCTGCCCCCCCTCCCTTGTCCCATGTGTTTCCCCCCCCCCCCCGCTCTTGCCCCCTCCCCCAAGCCCTCCCTTGTTTACGTATCCCCTTTCCCATCCCTCTCCTAGGTCCTTCCTCGCTCCCGCCCCCCCCCCCCTTCTCGCGTCCAGATCACCTCTTCCTCCACCATCTGCGTCTGGCCCGAATGTGCGGGCTCCCCCAGCAGCTCTCGAAAGTGGCGACGGTCTCACACTTCGCAGCCCCCCCCCGCATGGCGAGGTCGCTTTGGGGTCTGCGTGTGGCCCCACGGTGCGGGCTCCCCCAGCAGGCCTCGAAAGTGGCGACTGCCTCACACTTCGCAGCACCCCAGGGATGGCGAGGTCGCTTCGGGGTCTGCGTGTGGCCCCACGGTGCGGGTTTCCCCAGCAGCCCTCGAAAGCGGTGATAGTTTTATATGTCGCAGCACCCCAGGGATGGCGAGGTCCGTTTGGGGTCTGTGTGTGGCCCCACCGTGCGTGCTCCCCCAGCAGCCCTCGAAAGTTGTGAAAGTTTTATATGTC